GCAAAGGTAGTAGCATCTTCTGGAATACCTCAATTGTGATTATAGTGATTATAGTCCTGAATTCAAGTGGATTTCAAAAGATGTGTCATTGTGGATGCTACTCTCTGCAGTGAATGGTTTATAACCGGGTGCTTGGTGAATACTTGGAGAGGTAGCAGAGGAACTAAGGGAGATGCTGCTTCTGATCAATGACCATACTCGCCAATGACTACATTTGGTTCATCACGGAGTCAATCATAGCAAGTGTCTGTGTCCAAGATATAGTTTCTATTCAGGAGATATTGGGCAATAGGAAGACCCCAAAGCAAGAGGAAACTCATTTATCAAGAAGATAAAGAAGAGTTTGTGATAGATGTAGAAGAATAATCTACACTGAAATGAAGCTACACTCATAGCCATTCATCAAGATGCAGGGTAGTTTTGTGGTTTAAAGGCACAGCATTTTTCAGTGTGTGGTTTCAGCCAAGTTATTGAATCTCTCAAAGCCTCAGTTTCCTCATATGTTAAAGGAATAGTGATACTTACCTCACAGGGTTGTTCAAAGGAGATAATGTAAGTGCTGAGATATGTTAGTTATAGGTAACTAGTATTATCAAAAACTACTGGTATTATTATAAACTGCAAATTCACACCGGACTTCAAGGTTTTGCTATCCCTAATCTCATAAACTGTGTGGACTATAAGAATAAATGTTAAAAACAAAGCATTAGAGGGGCACCTGGATGGCTCTTTCAATTGAGCGTCCAACTCTTGGTTTTGGCTCAGGTCATGATTGCGTGGGTTGTGGGATCAAGCCCTGCATGGGGCTCCATGCTCAGTGGGGAGTTGCTTGAGGATTCTCTCCCTCTGCCCCTCTCCCCACTCTCTCTCTCTCTGGCTTTCTAAAATAAATAAATAAATAAATCTTTAAAAAAACATTAGATGATCAAATGATTGGAGTAGAGGGCATATGCAGAGAAAAAAGTTCTAATAAATTTTTGAATCAGTACATCATGTCCATTAGTTTTCATCCTATCATTTTATCCCTGGGATCTTACTTTCAAAAGGTAGCCATCTACTTGTACTTTTGATTGATTTCATTCTTTGTATGTGAGGTGGGATTATAAATTAAAGACACTAGTTTCTATAAACTTCCCTCATTACTCCATAGTCCCATTTTGCCTACTTCTTGCAAAGTTTCTGTCTCCTGCCTTTCTGTGGGATAAATTTAAATTTGCTTACCTTGTTCAAAGAGAAAGCATTATGACACTTAATCCTGAAAAAAAATCTTTATAACATAACTTTTAAAAAATGGTAAAAAAAAAAAAAGTAACCAGAGTAAAATGTTAAACAAAACAAAGCAAAACAAAACAAAACAACAAAAACCCTGAAGAAAGTGTTAAGATATGGTGGAATGATTGTTACAAAAACAGAGAAACCACTGAAAACTAGTCTGGTTTGGGTTCAAGTATTGTTGTCTCAATGAGCTTCAACTTTTGCTTGATCCACTGAAATTCACTGAATTCAGGGAAATGTTGAGATTTGAAATGGTAAAATGTGTGGTAGTTACAGCCTCAGAACACAACACCTGGGAGTGGCGGTTTTCTTGTGTTTCACTGTTTGAATCTTTCAGGAGAGAAGTGAAATTCTATAATCCAAATTTCATTGATTTATTTAGTTTTGACCTGCATTCTCATGTCAATTTCTCCTATGTCAAGTCATATGTTAGTCCATTTGGATTTGAAAACTGTACAGATAATTTTGTAGGCAGTATTTTCATAGAAAAGAAATCAGGACTAAAATCCAAGATATTGGCTGCCAAAATACTTAAAAATCAGGATATCCTTAATTCAGTTTTCAAAAGATGTTCCATAATTACTAATTTATTCTTGAATTAGATGCACTAGTGTCTTCAAGCAGTTTTACTATTTTTTTTATTTAAACTTTTTAAAATTGTGGTAAAAATATAACTTGAAATTTGCCATCTTAACCATTTTGAGTTAATTGCAGTTCTGTAGTAGATTCACACTGCTGTGCCAACAGTGCTCCAGAACTTTCTCATCTTGCAAAACTGAAACTCTATACTTGTTAAACAAGAACTCCCCATTTTCTCATCCCCCAAACCCTGCTCAATTCAGTTTCTAAGTGGGGCATGTATATGTTTTGTGATTACGATTTGGTAAGGCCAGAGGTCATTTAGGTGGATTGCAAATTGTAGGGTATGGTGTTTCTTTCACTTGAAAGTTGGACAAACGGTAGGAAATGAATGCTCATAGTTAGCACTTTTATTAGTTGAACTATAGGCTACTACTTAATGGCACATATGAAGTACTTGAAAAGCAAGCATCACTCATACTTTTGAGTAGTGAAGTTTACAATGAAAATCAAAACCAAAACAGGAATCAGACAGAAAATCCTGACAATGAAGGAAGGTAGCTTTTGAAATATAAAAATAATTGGAAAGTTGTGATATTATTTTCTTTTGAGATCTTTAGAAAGGTGAATGTTCATTTCAGTATTGTGGTTTTGTTGAAGTACTACCAGCATGCCAAGGAACATGTTTACAGGTCCCGAGCTAGCCCCCTTCCTGGACTTTTCAAAGCTGTACCTAAGGAGTCTGGTGTGACCACAGTACAAGGCAAAATCTAGAAGGAGGAAATGCTGAGATGTGGGTAGTGATATCTCAGAGCCCTCATTTGCTTAACTGAAAGCATTTTTTAAATGTTCAGGGAAATGAACATGATGGAAGACGTTTCAGTGCCAGAGACAGTGAGGGCCCGACACCCTGGTGCAGTTCTCCTCCACTTATTTAAAAAATCAAGGTGATGAGATGTCATCTTATTGGCTACCTCCTGGCATCATCTTTATAGCCTCCATGCTCTAATACAATGGGCAAAATATGGCAAGGTGATGATGATGATGATGATGATGATGATGATGATGATGGTGATGGTGTTGATATGATGGTGATCCTGAGAATAGTGGTCACCCAAACTCATGGATGCTCTATTCTTACCTCAGGTGTCTTGCCTGATAGGTCTCAGATTTTGGAAATGCAATGTTTGATGATACTACTTAAGCCTCTACAGGATTAAATTTATAGATCTTACCACCCAGAGGTGTTTAAGACTTGGTTCTGGTGTGTTTCAGGTACATTTTACATTAAACAGGTTTTTATGTGTCAATTTGGGAACTTAATTGTCATTTATAAACTTGTTGCCTTGCTGAAAATGTATTTTGAGTCCAAAACAAATAAATTAAAAATTTTAAGGAAATGACCCTTTTTAAGTAGGAAATTGTTTCAATTTGTTCTTGTAATTCTATATCAGCATTTAATAAAATATTTTAATTTGGTTTTAGAATGAAAGCTATAGCTTAATTTTAATAATGGAGGAGAACAGTAGAGTGGCTAAAAAATGAACAGTATTAAGTATATTAAGTTCTTGATACATATTGGTTGAATTAATTAAATACAGAGTCATTTATATTTAGTTATTTGACTTTGAAATACAGGGTAAGAGTTTTGAAACTTCAATTGAATTTTATAATGATACTTTTCTTACTCTTATATTAACGTGAATTTTCACATCTCTGAACTCACATGTTTTGCTTACTTTGGCCTTATTTTTATTTGGCCACTACTTATTCTGAGTAGTGGGGAGGGTGAACTTGAAGTTATAAATATGCTTCAAGCAATCTACAAATCCAAGCACAGATAATCAAGTATAGATGGTGTTAATACTACTTAGGTAGTGATAAGCTACAGGAAAATGTGAGGGAGAGGAGTAAGAAGTTATAGTGAGTCACTTAACCAAATCTGGGTTGCTAATATGCTATTGAGAAGGTTTTTTTTTGTTGTTGTTGTTGTTTTTAATTTTAAGATTCTTCCTTCAGTGGAATATAAAGAGATAACCTCAGTATTAATGATAGCATATTGGCATATGAAGGGAAACTATATGTTACATCTCTTACCTCATTTCTTGCTTGAAGTGATAAACTGATTTGGCCTCCAGGCCTGAGTTTTTTCCTTTCTCAAAGTCCCATTTGATTCTCTCTCTTGGTTGGTGGGGACAGCCTTCCTGGTTGGAGGAAGACCGTTTTTAAGGCAAGAGAATATGGGTGCTGCATGCCTCTACTAAGACCGATACTAGAATTAATATAGTGAACTCACTCTTTCACCAAAGTGGTCATCTATACCTTGGGGACATTAAACAATGTGGAAAGGGTCCAGGGAACACTAGAAATGGCACCAGATTAGAACCCTAGAGACCTTGTGGATAGATGTAAGAAAACTCTAATAATTTCATCAGTATTTACCATTAATCAATTAATATTTCTATGTGCCAGGTGCTATATGCTTCATCTTGTTCAATCCTCACAAAACCTTGTAACTAAATCTGATTAATCCCATTTCAAGATTTAAAAAAAAATAGAGAAAAACGTGTTAAAACATGTTTCTCAAGCTGATGCAGGCAGTAAAATAGACCTGGAGTTCACCCAAAGATCGTCAGACCCCAACACAAATATGTCAATTATTCTGCTAGTGCTTCCTACCATGGTGGTGGGGATTGGGTACAGGCATGGTTACTGCTCTTTGGGTGATGATTTTACCTAGTTATTGCCAATTAGTTAAATTTAAAGTTCTTTACATTTCTCATTTGTTCTCCTTCCTTCTTTTTCACCTCTGGTCATTTTCTTCCCACTTCTGATATCACTCCCAAGTTGGTAGTAAAGGCCATGATTCCTGCCCATTTTCTCCTCTCACCACAAAACCTGGATCAATTAGGACAAAGGAGCCAAAAGTATGGTAGCCTGTCAGTTTCTCTTTCTGTGTGCTTTAGCCCAGCTCTCAGGATGAATTTAGATTAGGCATACTCAAGGATATCCGTGAGTAATAACTATAAGCTTTGTCATAGATAACTGTATCGGGTGTGTTTAAATGTACAACTCTGTTTTTCTATTATTATGTGATATTTCATGTTGACTTGTCAAACTGAAAAATACTCATATTGATTTTGCAGAAAGCTTCACATGTGAGATAAATGCACTCAAAGACTCCTCACAAGTAGCTCTTTGGAGCTTCAGATGTGAAATGGATCATTCCTCAATCTGTAATAGACCCTTCTGTGAAGCTCTTCAATCAAACCTGAGAATTCAAGGTGAAATTGAGGGGAGGATGGGAAACCCCTATAGGGGGATTTGAGTGGACTAGCTGAGAAAGGAACCGGGGGTATTTGCTGCCTCTTTTTTCAGTTTTTTTTTTTTCTTGCACGTAGGAAGGCTGTCAATCACTGTGTGACCTTCCATGCCGTGCACGCCGTATGCGTGTAATACCTGGGTACAAGGGGACAGCCGTAGAGGTGCTCATAGAGGTGCTGTCATATGTGCCTTTGATTTCTTTCCACTTGCCAGTTTTTTTTCCTGACAATTTTCAGGTTATTTTTAAAGTGGGTATTTTATACAAATTTATTATACAGGGTTTCTCTTTCCACCAAATCATTTATATTGTTATATTTGTTAGAGTGAAATTGTTATCTTTTGAGAAAAGCATAAATAATCTTCTAAAAAAGTTAGTGACGCATAATAACTACTTTAGTTAAAAAGAATTGTGATATTTTGTTAAGTAGTGATCATGGTAAGGGCATCTTATTTAAGAATCATGTTTGTAGATCATGTAAATGACTTTTAATTAGTTTGTTCTCAGGAAAGCAGTAAGAGTTACCCCTAGGAAGGAAAACAGCATCTTCTGAAATTAGTTTTGGTGTCACATTTTTTATTTATTTGGGAGCACATTTTCATTTGGACATTTCTAGGTTAATTAAAAAAAAACTCAAAAATGTTCAATGGGCTATTTAGTTTGGGGGAGCAGTGAATCCTGACACCAAACTAAGTAATAAAAACTGTGCTTTGGAATTTATGCTCAAACACAGAATATGTTTGATAATAGTTTTTGATGCTCAAGCTGCTACGAAATGATTGCTATCCCCTCGCTGTGTTGTAGTTTTTCCTAAGCCACGGAGACAGTGTTGTTTGTAAAGCTTGCATATTAGTATAATCTTAAGAGCATATTAATTGCCCGGGAGGTTTATGTATTTGTTCTGCACATGTGAGTAAAGATCACGGCAGCTTATACAGCATAATTTTAGAGATGGAGAAAATGACTATTGTAATACTTGCTACTCTCAGTTTCCTCTACAGCAATGCCCTTACACCTTTCTTTTTCAGGCATTTTGTAGCATCCTAAACAGAAGGATATTGAAGGGAGCTGATTCTGCTTTGATCCTTGTGCTTGTTGTCAAAGCGCTTGGGATTGAAGAGACTGTTGGCTACAATTGACTGTGACAATTAGGAGATGATCAGAGCCCTAGAGTGGAGCACTTAAAGGGTAATTTACATGTCAGTTTGTCGAATAAAAAAAAAGATATTCAGCTAAGATTTTTTTTTTTTTCCCCTCAGAGCCTTGTAAACTGCAATTTGTGCTCTGGTAAGAAAAACCTGGCAGAGGAGTTAGGATAGCCATTACCATTTGAAAAGAAGCAATCATAAGGCCGCTGCTGAGCCCTTTGTCCACTAAAAATGCTGATTTGCAGCAGTGAGTGAAAAAGTGGAACCATCACTAAATAAAACCTTGAGCTAGGTAACAACCCCCCCCCGGCCCCCACCCTTGCTGGCTTTTAATGTTGGTTAAAGGTGTTTTTAAAAAACGTATCTTAAATCCGATACTTACTATCATTATAACATTGTTATTGGTCATGAATGTCCTTTCCTAAAAAAATAATATAAAGGATGCATTGAGGAAGTGGTAGGTGGAATACAGGCCAACAGCCAATTGAAAGGCTGATGCTGGCTATCAGTGGTATCTTAACTCTGGTCCCTTTGTATGGTATCACAGTTTTCCGCCAGTCAATCCTTTACACTCTGTTTTCCCCCTAACATATCAGTGTGCTCCTAGGTTTTCCCATTTTTATTTATACTCTGATTTTAAAGTGGGAACTGTATTTCTAACCTTCACATATTTAGCCTATTTGGGTGCACTTGGCTAAAAATAGAATGCACTTTCTGTCACGATTTGCTCTTCATATGTGGTCATCTCTATACTTTTCTGTTTGGTAATCCATATACAGAAGTAAAAAAAAATAGCTAGAAAGTGAAAAGAAGATAATTGCCAGTAAATATATGGTGATATATATTTAACTGTCAAATAGAGTCAGAAAAATTAGTTATTTCAAGAATTTTTGAGTCTTACCCCCTCCCTGGAAATCATTAATAATAGTAATAATAATAATAATAAATAACATGTAGTTGCAAGCTTTTCATTTGGAAAATTATCTAAAAAAGAATGTATCAACACAGCCATCCTATCCAGATGTAATCCAATTTGGTGTGTATATTTAATTCAGAGATACATATTAACTTTCAATGGCAGATACATTTTATATTCCATTTTTTTGGATCCTTGGCTACAATGACAGGCATTTGCAGAAAGGCAGCAGGTTAGAAATGTCTTTATCTTAAAACACCAGCTTTATTGATGAGAGCTAAGAACATGCATGACCTTCAAAAGCCAGATTTTCCAATAGCACATTGCTGTTACTCAAGTCCTTCACCTGGATACTGGTGTTGGGTTTTCAGGCCACCCTTCCATTAAAGACATTCACAATTCCAGATAAAAGGGCTTTATTTCTCTTCATTTACATCTAATACCTTAACAACAATAAAAATTTTTTTCAAGGGATGCTTTACGAAAGGACTTGCATTCTACTTATGGAGGTTTCTGAAAAACACAATAGTCAATGGGGAGCTGATTGAGAGAAGTCAGTAATTCACAGATACTCTGACTGTTTTGCAGGAAGGCCCTGAACTTCTTTATAAAGTTTTTTAACTCTAGTTTTCCTTGTGTGCACGCCCCCTGCCCCCCCCGCCCCCCCCTCCCCCCCTTGCTAAGAAGAACACACCAGCAAGGAAAAAAAAAAAATGAATAGGTTAGTAAGTGCTAAGAGGATAATGAGACAGGGAGTCAGAGAAGGTCTGGGCTTCCTTAACATGTGTCTGCAGAATGCAGGCAATGGTAAATCTGTATCAAAAATCAGGCACAGCAGGAGGTGTTCGTCTCCCAGGTAATGGGTAAATGATGAGCAGATGAGCCATCCTTGTATCGATTTAAGCATTTTGTTCCAGCCAGTCACAATTAACTTTGATTTGTTTTTACTTTCCTCTTATAGGTTTGCATTTAAAACACTCTTGGAGCACTAATTGTATAAAATTCTGGTAACTGCACATTCTCTTTTTAGAGAGGTAATGAGCGAATGAATGAAAAGGCAGGGATTATTTGCCATTCTAAGAGCTGGGATTGTCAGAACATTTCTACTTGACTGAAATTGTTTTGGAAGGTGAGCTGGAACAAGAATCTTGCAACTAAAATGAAGTGACTCTGCATGTGGTTTTGGGATGTTTCTGTTCATCAAAGAACTCTACAGAACTGCTCTGGGACTTAGAAGTTGATTTAGATTTTATTTATGAAAGAATATTTAGGTGAATCCTATGAAAACATTTTAAAGTACGCATATTTGACTCTTAACAAGTAAGTGGGAGTCTTCTGAAGGCTCATTTGGAATTATTTGAAAAGAGTTTTCCTATTACTATCACAGTGTTTTTTCAATATACAAATTGCCCTGTTGTGACAAAATAAATTATTGAAATGCTTTGAAAAGTTTTTAGAAATGTGCCCAAGGAAACAATATGTAAATTGTTAAAGTTAATTCACATGTCAATTTATTGAAATGTTGCTGCTACTGAAAAGTCCAAGAACCTTTAGCACAACATTGCAGAACATTTACAGTCTTGTTTTAATGAGTAGCTCTTTCTTTGTATGTGTTTGGAGGTGGCAGTAGAGTTGCCAGATATAGCAAATAAAAATAAAGAATTCCCAGTAAATTTGAATTTTTGATCAATAGTATTTTTTCATATAAGGATATCCCATGCAATGTTCACATTTTATCAGGGAACCCTAGGTGGCACTCTGATTGGACAGAAATTGCAACCATGCATTGAATGGACAATCTAATTATTTATAAATTATAAATTGTCACTTATAAATCATTTTACCTTTCACTGTCAGATTAGCTAGGCCAACAAGCTTGCCCCCCTTCAAATAGAAACCAAAAGGCTTTTTAACTCATTAATGCTGAGTTTAATTTCCCCATTACGTTCCCTGAACAAGCTGTGGACTCATCATTTCAAGTATTTAGTAATTTCTGCCTGACTAATATAATGGAGACTTCAGAGAAGGTGACGGAGAAGTCTGGCTTACCCACGTTGATCAGGCTCTGACTGGAGTGTTTCCTGGTTATGGGGATAGAGAACTGAAGGATACAGTGGGAATATATTATCCTTGTAAAGCCACATCTTTCCTTTTGTGGCAGTATTATGATTACATAGGTAACCAAGTTGGAAACCCTGCAATTCCGATCCCAGTAGGAGCTTCTGGGAAAGAAAAGATTCTGTGTCCTTACACTTTTATTTTATTGCATTGAACTTTGCTCACCATAATCTAGTTGCCATGAAAGAAGCTAAGCTAGAACCTAGAGAAAACCATATATCTGATGTATCTTTGAAACCAGCATTCAATTCTGTCAGTAGTCAGTTTGAACTGCTATCACAAAGTATCATAGGCCGTGTGGACAAACAACAGAAATTTATTTTTCACAGTTCTGGAAGCTGAAGTCTGAGATCAGAGTGATGACACGGCCAGGGTGTAGCGAGAACCCTCTTCCATGTTTGCAAACGGCTATCTTCTTGTGTCCTCATATGGTGGAGAGCAGGGAACTCTGATCTCTTCAGTCCCTGACAAGGGCACTAATCCTGTTTAGGAGCATTCTACCCTTATGACCTAACTGTCATCTCCCAAAGGCTCCACCTCCTAATACCATCACATTAAAGGTTAGGGTTTCAACATATAAATTTTGGGGGGGACACAAACATTCAGTCTGTAACAATTTTTCCCTGTCCTGGTGCTTTTCATGGTCTGTCAGAAAGACTATTGTGCAGGAAAGTTTAGAGTCCTGTTTCTCATCCTCTAAGCCCCATTTTGATTTCAGTTGTAGCTTCAGTGGATGGTTCTTCACAAGCCCAGTCCTCCAGAACATTGTTTGAGTCTTCCTAATTTCTGCCTCAGAGCCTTTTCCAGAATTGCAGAAGCCTGCTCAGTACTTCCTCAAGGTTGGCCTGGAAATGTGGGAGATAGTTAATACCCTCAAGGGCAGCCCTCAACCGATGGGAGGCAGGAGCTTGTGGACAAACTTTTCAGCTATCTACCTTTCAGGCAGTTCTCAGAAGCACTCAGCACACTTATGTAGGTATCTTATTCTGGGATCTTATGTAGATTATTTGGATTTTCCACCAAGCCTACTTCATTCTGTATATTTTCTGTACATTTTCTTGAAGGTTCAAGGTTATCCCTATTTCTAGGGATAACCAACATGCATCCAATTCCTCATCTCAGGTTCTGTTTTAGGGCAACCCCAACTAAGAGACCCCTGATGCTATCTTCTTCCCAGCACCATGGCCCTCTCCTTGCTCTGGGTCTAGATATTTTGCTTCCTTCGGTTCTACCAAAGTTTACTTTTCTTATTATCAGAGGAAGACAGTTCTGCCACTGTACCTACTATTAAAACTGAATCATACTGCTTAACAAGCACATCAAGCACATTCACTTCACCCAAACTCCATTAAAATGAGAGCTACTTTTTATTGGACACACACTCCACGTGAGGGTGTATGCTAAGGGATCCATGAATAATGTTTTGTTTAGTCCTCAGCATATCACCAAGAAATAATCAGTATTTCTGTTTCACAGATGAAGAAACTGAGGCTCAGAAAGATTAAGGGATTTCTTTCAAAACCACAAAGCCCATTTTTTAAACTACTATTCTATAGAGCCCACCATATAAAGCTCTTAGAAATTAAAATTTTTTTATCGAATACTAATATGAGCAGCTAAAGAGATGATTGGGTAGGGAATAGAGACAAGAATTGGTTTATATCAAAGAAGGCAAATATTTTTTTAAAAAAGCTCCTGCTCTTGGGGCACGTGGGTGGCACAGTCAGTTAAGCCTCTGACTCTTGTTTTTGGCTCAAGTCATGAACTCAGGGTCGTGAGATCGATCCCCATGTTGGGCTACACACTCAGCATGGAGAAAAAACAGGGAAGTTCTGGTTACTAGATTTGGTCACAAAGGTCATGCTGTTGGTGACATTCCTGTAGTCTGCTATGGTTGTTAAAGCAGTCAATCTCTCTTTCTTTTGGCTTTATATGAAAGCAAGAAGGAAAGACCAAGGTCATTTTTTTTTTATTTTTAAATTTTTAAAAAAGAATCTATTTATTTATTTGAGAGAGAGAGAGAGAGGAGAGGGACAAGTAGACTCTGCACTGACTGGGGAGCCTGACATGGGGCTCGATCCCATGACCCTGATCTCATGACCCTGATATCATGACCTGAGCTGAAATCAAGAGTTAGAGGCTTAACTGACTGAGCCACCCAGATGTCCCCCAAGATCATAAGTTTTATTCATGAAATACAGTAGTAATAAATTTTCATATACCAAAAAAAAAAAAGCCCCAAATTATCAAATTATGATTGAATAAAATTGGAAGTTTTGGTTTCATTATGAGACCTGGGAGCTCTGTGTATCTATATTTTGGCTCACGGTGCCTTACATATGGTAGGACTTGATAAATATACACTGAATGAATTAATTTGAGTATTGTGGCATATAGTTTAAACTGACTTCAATAAGTCCAAGTTTTTAGTGATCTGCTTTACTAAACAACTGACTTTAGCATCTTTTAAGATTTGTTACTTGAAAAAAGTTAAAATTTTAACAGAGTCATATAATTTAAGACAGTGTCTGGAACAATGTAATCACACGCTTCGCAATGAAATATGGTGACTTCAGTTAATTTAAATCTACTGGAGGCAAAGAGAAGTGGAAAGATTTCATCTGATGTTACACTAGGCACATGACTAGAGAGGTATGGGCATGCTAGAGTGCAAAGGTCAAATAGAGTAAACAGGCACCTTTGTGGAGACAGGGAGAGCTACCCAGAGCAGCCAGGAGAAGATCTGTTCTCCACTTAGAACAGGATGAGTTAGTAGCCCTTCTTTACAACTGAGGCTGGGGTGGGGGGGAATGGTTCCCTGGGAGCTTTCCTCTGACTCTCCCAAACTTCTCCAAATTAACATATTCCATAAATATTAGAATTTTGACCTCCTTACAAACTGACTACATTTGGGATCAGTCCTATAAACCTGTCGTCTTTATCCTATTGCATCCCTTGATGTAGAGATAGGGGTTTATCCGTGCAAATCTTTTTATTGGTAGAATTTCAGATTCTCTTCAAATTGCCGTGCAGTTAGGAATCCAACTGTGTGGCAGTTTCTAAAAACTTCATGAGGTTGTTTAGAACAATAAAAGGGATGTGCGGTATGCAATTTCTATTTGTGCTTGTTGGTTACTGTTGGTTTCTTGTGGCAACCATAGTAACTCATAGGCCCTCAAGAGTGAAAGTGGAAATTACCCCAGTGTCAGGGCCATCATCACCGCAGCATTAGCTACACCAGTGAAAAATAACATCAGATATACTCGATCTTTCCATGCTTACTAATGGAAGCTATCTAACAAGCAAAAATAGGTTTTGTCTATTGGATTACAGACTATAAAAGAGAAGTCTAGTATTCTACCATTCAACATATGGGATGGGAATACTTTCAGATTCCATAGAAACTAAAGGAACCTAACATGTATATAAATGTCTACAATTTTACTCAAAGGAGACTATATATATATATATATATATATATATATATATATATATATATAATTTTTTTTAAAGTAAGCCCTAGGCCCAGGGTGGGGATTGAACCCATGACTCCAAGATCAAGAGTTACATGATCTATGACTCAGCCAGCCAGATGACCCCAAAGGATTCTTTTTAAGTTCTTTGTACAGCAGAACCAAACTTCTCCTTGTCTACAGGATAAGTTATTTTGATTGGCTAAATTTTAATGGCTCATTTAAAATGTAATTAGCAGAAAAAATATGATTATTATATGTTTAGTTTTATGCCAATTACTATGTCTAAATGCTAATTAAGATTAGGATATATGAGGGATGCCTGGGTGGCTCAGTCGGTTAATTGTCTGCCTTTGGCTCAGGTCATGATCCCGGGGTCCTGGGATTGAGCCCTGAGTTAGGCTCCCTGCTCAGTGGGGAGTCTGCTTCTCCCTCTCCCTCTGCTCCTTCCCTGCTTGTGTGCTCTCTCTCTCTCTCAAATAAATAAAAACCTTTTTAAAAAAAGATTAGGATATATGAATCAGTGCAGCTAATAGGT